AGATAACTGTATTCCCCTAATTAAAAATGTATAATAATAATTGGGTTTTCTTAATTTTAAATAGAAAAAAATATATTATTAATTAATGAAGTACGAGATTCACAATGATGTAATGTACTTAATTAATTTTAAATAGAACAAATACATATTAACTTATCCCAAAACATATGTATTTATTTCAAGTTCAAACTTTGTTCTGATAAATTCATTCTGCCTAATAATAATTACTTAATATTTCAATAACTTTGCATTATTCAAGGAACCTGAAAACAATCTTTTAAAAGGATTGAAAACATTATTCAATAGTTCTGAAAAAACATGTGCTGGAAAATTAGAGATGGAGTTTTATTTTTATAGAAGAACTATAATAAAAATGACAAAAAAAAAAGGAAAAAAGCATGACAAGAAATGATAGATTCAGTTAACGAGCAATTATTTATTGTGACATCACCACAATGCCAAGCTGCAATTTTTTATTATAATGCACTTAAGCTTAGTAGTGTCTTGTCTCTGTACATCATACTTTTACTGTTAACAATGAAGTCATGCCAGTCATGTATATAACATATTCAAGAGAAAATTTTTTTATTGAAATAATGTGACTTCCAGCCCAGACCAGAATTTCATATACAGTTAATCAGAGCCTTCTATCTCTAAGTTTTCCATATCTGGTCTTGACTTTCATCTAGCTAAACCATTCTGAAGATTAAGGAAAGACAGACAAAAAACAGTGGGAATTTATAGATCTACAATTGTTTCAAATTGCAGCCCAACAAGCTATTAAAATTGTAAATACTATAAAATAATATACTAACTGACCTGAGATCTGGGAGTTAACTGAAAAAAAAATTATAACAACTAATTGTTAATTAATTCGGTAGTTAAGGCCACTTTTAACAAAATTTTTTTTTTCAATTTTTGGAATGTTTTTTAGTCCCCAAATTTTTTCAAAATTTTTTGTCCATGCGAAAAAATTTTATTGTGATTTTAATGAGCCTTTGATAAGGCTCAATTAAGGCTTAATTGTTTTTTAATGGGAGTTTTTTATCAAATTTATTTCATGGTTCCTAAGTTGTAGTGCACGGATTTTCCTTTTGTAAAGTTATTTAAAGCTGGTTTCTGATGTCAAAAACGACCTCCGATAGTTTTTTAATTTTTTTAATTAATCGATTTTTTTATATATTAATTTAATTAATTAGGGGGGTCAGAAATCGCAATTAAAATCTTAATTTTTTAAAAATATACGTGTCGCTCATATTCACCCTACTTTAAACCCTTGTCCTCCCGAGACGTATGAGAGAATGTCCCAGGAAATCCGAGTCCAGCTGTGTTCAAGGTCATCTAGCTGTGTAAACAATGACTCATCCGTGTTAAATTTCACAGACAGGCGAGACATAGGAAAATAAAATTTGAAGCTTTTTCTTCAAAATTAAGGCATTTCTTTCGTTTTTTTTCAGTTTTAAGTATTTTTTATGTATTTTTTTATGCTTAATTACATCATAATTAATTACAGGTTGTCATTAAGGGGTTAATTGTTGATACGTGGGAACATTGTTATGTAAACAAATCTCATGGTGCGAATCTGACAGCAAGTCAAGTTCCCACCACCCTAGCTGGCCCAGTGACGACACAGTCAAAGTGTCAACATTAGCAACCATCAGGTCACCTGATCAAATTCCCACACCAGATGGAGATATAACAGCCGCACACCCAATCTACGAGGCGGATATCCCCAGAAAAAGGAACCATAGTCTACGGCTCATCTTGCCATACTCCAGGCAGACATAATATGACAAAGCAGACATAGTTCAAAGAGCTAATAAAAAAAGCCCTCTCCATTCACCTCCAGTCTCATCTCTGTTGGACTCTTATCTCCTAGAAGACTCCCTACTGACCTCAACCAAATTCACGTTTGTCTTGCTGACCTCATATGAACCGGATCCAAAACTACAGAGTTCTTTTCCTGAGGTACTGTACTTAGAACAGTAATTAGAATTGTACACTCTCTCTCTCTTGATCAATTGAGATATTAGTTTTAGTCAGTATATAGCAGATTATTGTATCATATGCTTTCCTTTCTGTTTTATTAAATTTATTGTTTAGTTAAACTGGTGTTGATATCCATTATTGATCCAGCCACCCTATCAACTTACCCATGGTTTTCCCCACTCAACATATAGCCCTCCTATTTAATGATAATTTCGCATAATTGCGAGTTAGGATGTGAACTACAACTATCCTAACTGGTGTCGGGAAAAACCATCCTCCAGATCTTGGGAAAAGGGTTTAGAGTATTACTCTGTAACCCCCAGTTTCTCACACTAATATTACTTTCATGTGTTAAAATAACTTTATAAATAGGATTAGTCATAGAATTAATTTCTTAAATTTTTGAAGCTTAGGCCTCAATTCATGTTAACATCAATTGAGGCCTGAGCTTCAAAAATTATTTTTATCTCTAAAGTATTATTAAAATTGTCTCCTGTTGCAATAAATGTTTTTAGTTAATATTCTCCACAGCCTTTTGATTGGATTCAGATTAGGGAAAACAGCTGGCCAATCCAAAATATTCACATTATGCTCATTAAACCATTTTTTCATACTGTTTGACTTACTGTATGAAGAGGAACATTATCTTGTTGAAATATCCAGAGTGAATTAATAATATCCTTTATAAACAGCAAAGATTTTCATATAGAATTTGTTGATAGGTTTGAGCATTACTTAAGCAGCATTTACTGGAATGGTACAATGCTTATAGTCTTTATCAAAGGACAAATGGATGCTCAAGTCTATCAACAAGTTCTATCTGAAAATCTTTTGCCATTTATAAAGGAAATTACTAATGCACCTTTAGATATTTCAAAAAGATAATACTCCTGTTTATATAGTAAGACAAACAGTATGAAAAAAATGATTCGGGATGTTCTGAACTAGTCAGCTGCTAACCCTGATCTGAACCAATTGAAAATCTATGGAAAATATTAACTAAAAATTGCAATAAATGTAGTAACATTTATTGCAATGGAAAACAGTTTTTTGAAATACTTCAGAAATAAAAGAAGCAATTGTTCAAGCTTGAGCATCAATTGATGTTAAATATCAAATTATTTAAGAAATTTGATTAATTTCATGACTAATCCTATTTATAAAGTTATTTTAAAACATGAGAATTATATTAGTTATTAAAATTATACATACTATAAAATAATATACTAACTCATTAGCTGAGTCTATCATTTTTGGACACATTCTTTTTTCTTTTATTACTGTCATTTCCTTTAATTAATACCATATTTTCACAGAATGACCAGCATTCTGCATATAAATGGGGGAGACCACCACACCAGTTAAACTGACTAAAATATAAAATTAACCAGATCTAACAAAACTTGTTGTTAATTAAATGTTAAAGTAAACATTCTTCTGAGTACAATAAAATAATAACATTGTAATTTGACTGACTTAAAATCAGGAAGAACATAAACAAAATTACAAGACAATAAAACAATTAACAAAGAGATGGTGGTGGTGGTGGTGGTGGTGGTAGTCAGTGCAGTCTATACTGACCATCTATCTTGATATTAAAAATAACAACTTCCTCTCAAATTTCACACAAAGATGATGTTAATTGGTGTAAGTTAAGATACTTTACAGCAAGTTTCTTAAATTTAATATGTTTATTTTTGTGGTTTTGAATCAAATTACAATAAAATAAACATAAGAAAAGCACTTTCAGAATTTCACATATATTTTACATAATTAGAAAAAAGACAAAATGAAGAAATTAAACATATAATTGTAATTTTTGATGTAATGCTGACAATTTCAGTTTTAGAATAAAAACTTGTTTGCTTTTACCTGATGTAACTCATTTGTTTTTTTAATGTTCTCTTTAGAGAGGGATGTATAACCTCACTTAAAATCTCTGGCATGTCAGTTTGTACTATACAGAAATATCTGATTTCACATGGTCTCTCCAACATGCCAGACAATCCACAAAAATATGGTATATTTTTCTATTATAATTAAGAAAAACCAATTATTGTACATTATTAAATATATTTATTAATTACAGAAATATAAATTTTATCTTGATATAATAAATTGTTCTTTAAAAAACTGAAAAAATAACACTGAATCTATTTTTTTTGGACACACCCTCTACACTATATAAACTTTTTTCTATATACAATACTTTCCATAAATTAAAAAAATACATAAATATTCTTAATGAATTTATGGCATTTCTTATAAAAATGTAAAAATTTTACTGATGCTAACTCATGGTTTGAAAAAAATTTTCCCAGAGGAACTAGATTAAAATGCTTGAATATTTTAATATTAATGGAATTTTTTTACATATACAGTAGAACCTCGATTATCTGCCCCCCGATCAACCGACCCCTTGGTTAACCGACCGTCCTAGTCGGCAAATTTCAAATGTCCGCTAGTGATGTGGCGCTACAATATTTGGCTATGTCTTGGCTACTTTAATATTATTTTTACGTGTTTTAGCTGGCAACACTCATTCGACCATGAAAGGGAGCCAGTATTTAAACGAGGCTTAATTTTCTAATTTTTAACGATACAATAGCGACGATTATTATTTTAAAAAATTTTTGTTAGGCTTAACATCGATGAAAATTCAACGCGAAATAGGTTAATAGCGATATACTAATATACTAATTACATGGGATATAATAATATACTACACTAATAATGGATTTTTTCATACTTTTCGGTTATCCGACTTTTCAATTATCCAACCAACCCCAGTCCCCAATTAGGGCGGATAATCGAGGTTCTACTGTAATATGTTTTTATAAGAAGTTTAGCATATTCTAAATAATTTATAAATTATAAAAAAAATTATATCTTGTAAATAATTATTTTCTTTCAAATTTTCTTTGAATAAAAACTATAGTATTTTGATGTAGAACATTTAGAAATTATTAAAGTAAATTCTATTATTATTGTTTTTAAAAATTTTAACATACCATTTCTAAAGTCTCATTTTTTATTAAAGGTAACTCTTCTTTTACTTTTAGAAGTGTTTCTAAGCAAATCATAAATTCATGTAATGCTTGCTTCTTATCAATTGGTACAATATGAACAAAGTTATCTGAAATAAAAAGATTGTGGTGTTATAATTTTAAAATATATCAAGTTATTAAATTTCTCAAGTGATGAAATTCCAACACAACTAATATTTATTTATAAAATTCATGATTTTTAAAATTCTAAATAGCTATTGTCTCATAAAAATTATAGATAAAACTTCTTACCTGGACAAGGTGCTACTGGCCAGGGACAATGTTTCTTATGAGATGTTTGCAATGATTTTATTACTTCATTTACACAATCATCATCTGCAATTAAATTATACAGAATATTCAATAAATCAAGATAAGTATCATTTATTATACTGTAATAATGTTTTGATATTCAATAAACATTAATTTACCATATTATTTTACATTATTATAAATTCTTACTTAATTACATAGAAATTTTGTAGTCTAAAATTAAAAAAGAGAAACAAACCTTGCATTATATATTTTAAAAGTATAGTTTTCTAAGAATATACAGAATAAGAAATATATTTAATTACATACACACCACATGAAACCACATTCAATGAATCTAAAAAAACTTTATTTTCCAAAACATTTTCAGAAGGCATTCTTCCTATCTCCAACAGAATCAAAGAATATAATTTAAAGAAAAGTTCACAACTATAAATTTTCAAAGTTCAGTTCTTTAAAACACAAATCTCCAATTTGGTTTATTTGATTTTTGGTGACAAAAAAAATCCACCAATGAGTTAAATATTTTTGCTGGGAAAGTTATGCATTAAGGAACACTAAGACACATTAGCACAAAGTTAAAATTGTGTGGGGCACCATTTGTTGCTCCACAGATTTTATTAAAAAATAATTTTTACAAACAAACATCACGAAACCTAATAAATTTGTAAAGCCAAACCACCACAGGATTACATCAGGTTACTTTTCCAGGACTATTTTGTCAGTAGAGGGGACCGTCTCTTGTTAAATTTAATAATTATAATGAATAAAACAATAATACTCCCAAACCTAAAATCCAGTTAAAAGAATGAAAAATTTAATGAACAACAAATCAATAAATTTCAAACCTTTACAAAGGCATTCTCAGGTTCTACTGGTAAAACACAAATCAAACAAAAACAGAAATTTACATAATGTTCATTCTATTTGAATGTTGCATGCACAGGAATGCAGTAATAAGTTATAAAATAAAAACAATTACAAAAGAATACAACACATACAAAATGGTTAAGTGCTTATAAACAACAAAAGACCGGAATAAAATATACTCCAAAACAACTGGAGTGCTGATATACAGGGTGTTTATAAATGAATGGTGCAGTTTTAATTAATTAAATATTAATAATAAATCTATTTATTACCTTATATGGACAAACCTTACAGCATAAGCAGCGGCAACTGTCCAAGATTTTTATGCATTAATCACAATTCTTTCAATATGTGCACCCATGGTCACACGACACACATCTACACGGTAATCAAATTCTTCCCATACGTGGTGTAGCATGTCTTCTATGATGGCTTTATCCAATCACACAGTGCATGCTTTATCCAATCACACAGTTCCTTGATGGACACGGGTATTGACAGTACATAAACTCAATCTTTAACAAATCCCCACAAAAAGAAATCGCAGGATGTTAAATCTGGCAAACAGGGTGGCCAGGGGAGCAGGTTGTTATCTGCTGTTGCACCACGTCCAATCCAGTGTTGGTGAAGAACACAATTAAGAAGCTTGCATACATTCCTGTGAACTTGGACAGTTGCCACTGCTTATGCTGTAAGGTTTGCCCATATAAGGTAATAAATAGATTTATTATTAATTTTTAAAGCCACACCATTCATTTATAAACACACTGTATAATGATAAGACAGAAACATAATACAATAATACCTCAGTTTTCATTGACTTCAGTTATCAGTGGTTTCGGTTTTCGTCAATTTTTTCGTGAAAAATTTGTCTCGGTTTTCATTGATTGCCTCGGATTTCATCGGTGTGCTCAAGTGATCTCACTGCTAATTTTGTGAAAATAAAGGGCAACTCACGTGTTTTCCAGCTCAGTGTGGCATTATTTCTTGTTGTGTGAGCATTACCCTGTGACGGCCCACCATTGGCCAATGATTCCATTCCCTGAACACTGGGAGTTCGATTGTGGGTTCATGCTTCGCCAGGACGGGATGGCCACATGAAGTCTTCCAGGTTTTCTCCACATCTGTAACGCCTGAATAGGGGCCAGTTATCCTTAAACAGACCTCTCGGAAGGCATTATTCTCCGCGATACAACCATCATAAACATATACAACTACATAACTATGTCACAGGGCGATATAAGCTAGAAGCTCATGTCCAACTAGCTTCTACAATACAAGACATTACCCGCATGTCTAGCCAAATAATTCCATTGATTTTATCTTAATGCTAGTTATCTTATCTTTTATCTTTATGCTAATTAGTCTTTTATATTAATTTCTTATTGTTTTTAGTATTTAATGCTATATTAATTCTCTAGAAAATGTGTTTTCGGTATGTATTCTGGAGTGTCTAGAATGAATTAATTGGATTTACATTAATTCATATGGAAATAATTGCCTCGGTTTTCATTGGTTTTGGATTTCACCAATTGTGGTTTTCATTGGTTTCGGATTTCGCCAATTGTTTTCGGACAGATTATTGATGAAAACTGAGGTATCACTGTATATATAATAAGATGCAGCAACTGTTTACAAAACATTACATGGTTGCTAAATACAGTGGAACCTCACTTAATGAGCATAATTTGTTCCAGAATAGTACTCGTAATGTGAAAAATTTTTCCCATAGAAATTAATGTAAAATACGATAATGTGTTCCATGCCAAAAAATACTCAAATATTTTATGTATAATGTTTATTAAAAGAAAATTGTACAATGTGCATTAAGGAGCGTGAATCATCATCATCTATCTTTTCTTCCAGCATGGAATGAACCAACCTGGAATTAGAATTCAATTCTTGAGCTATGTAAAGGTTATAATTAAATAATAAAAATTAATTAATTTGATAATGTGTTCCATGCCAAAAAATACTCAAATATTTTATGTATAATGTTTATTAAAAGAAAATTGTACAATGTGCATTAAGGAGCATGAATCATCATCATCTATCTTTTCTTCCAGCATGGAATGAACCAACCTGGAATGAGAATTCAATTCTTGAGCTATGTAAAGGTTATAATTAAATAATAAAAATTAATTAATTTGACTAAAGGTAGGCAGTTATGCTTTCACCTCATATTAAATTTAATAATTATAAATAGTTAATTTTTAATTCAGATATTTCTAAAATTTAATTTGGAATTGGTCATTAAATTTAATATGAGAAACTGCCTACCTCTTGTCAAATTAATTTCTAATATTTAATTATAGCCTTTACATAGCCCAAGAATTTGGCATATCATTTGATGTGTTTATTAACACTACACTATCCGGAATCTGTAACCGGTGCACGATGCATATATACTGTATATCACTGTTGACAAATGTTTTCGAGCAATCTCTTTGCTCTTCTTCAGGTCGACTGGAATTCTCTGGACAGAGTGTATTCTATTTGTTGGGATTGGATGTCAATTCTGATGGAGTGGGTCCTTTCTGACATGCATGGTTGTGTGGTGGGGGAGGAAGTGGCGGGTTGGCATCTAACAGTGATTGCCAGGCCAGAGACAGAGTCAGCTCTTCTTTCCGGTTAACGCACGTGGTTAGCCAGCCAGCATTGTAGATAGCTGTGGCCTCTAGCCACCTGAGATGCTCTTGGTGGGGTGTGTTGATAACAGTAGCTTTTTCAAATCATGCTTTGACTTCGGGATCCAATGCATACGAAGCCAGGGCCAGCTAAGTGACTCATACAACATGGAATTCATATAAAACGGAATAATCAACAGTGTTATGGGGGGGTCGACTGTATTTCAGAAGTTAATCTAGTATCAAAAAGTTCCGATTCAGCACGACACATGTCCCGACAACACAATCCTGAGAAAAACACCACACAAAACAAGCAAAACTTTCTTTTTCTTGGGTTTATCTGGAGATGTCAGCTGCTTGGGCTATATTCTCAGATGAGCTGAAGCAAAACACACCACTCATGATGGGGATAAAAAAGCCATGTTCAAATACTGGTGCATCCTTAAGTATCCTCTCAACGTGTGTTGTGCTGAATTGGAATGTTTTTGATACTAGATTAACTTCCGAAATATAATTTTTTTGTTTTTATATTTTTCAATATATTTATTTTGTTTTTGCAAAATAAAGAAATAATTTTCAACGATACAATATGGTTGTGCCAGTGCTGCCAGCTAAAACACGCACACCAACAAAAATAATATTGGAGTATCCCAAGATATAGCTAAATATTGCAGCACCACAGCACCAGCAGAAATTTGAATTTGCCAACTGGATCGTTTTCAGTTAACCGATATTTCAGTTGATTGGTATTTGGATAATCAATGCTCTACTCTACATTATTTCTAATTCCTTCCATCCTCAACTCCTATATCATCCTTTTATCATTTTTAACCTTACATCTAATTCTAATCCTTAACTCTGTCATCATTTTTCTTTCTTTCTTGTTATTAATCCTTTAATTACTTCTTTAGTCTTTTGTACTAGTACTTCAGCTAATATTCCTGACAAAGGAGAACAGTCCGTAAACCAACTTTCTGGTTATCCTTAAACCCTAAATACAATTGCCTAATCACACCTTCTATAATTTTTCTCATAATAATTTCTTCCTTGATCTTTATCCCATATTCATCCTTAAGCACTTTTATTGTTGTTTGCACTATTTTATCTTGAACCACAGAAAGACAAGCTTCTGTAATCCAACACTGTTAATATTTTCACTTCCACCTTTAAGGTCCATTTACACACAACAGTGGCTTGCTGGCACAGTGCAGTGAATTTTTGCCTGTGAGAAATCGTTGACCTAGTTTTAAACCACCCTGTCCAGACTTGTCTGTCACAGTACTGTGCAGTGGCAGTGGCATGACCGTACCGTGAAAGTACATTTGATGGAAACGATATTTTCACTGATGGTAAATTTTGTTTTCCAATGGATGACGAACATTTAATTGAAATGGTGCATCAACACCCTGTTCTATTTGATTTATTTCATTCGAAATACATGAACATTGGTTACAAAATGAATATTTTCTCTGTTTTGTTTAATAAAATATGAAATGCATGTTGGGATATTCGAAAAAATTTTTTAAAAATATAGATTTGTCATCTCAATTTTTTATAAAGAGTATGAAACTCCCATTCTGTTGATATTTTTTGTCCATACTTGATGTATCCACTTGCAGCACTTTCTTGATTGCATTTCTTTTTCTTCTTCATCCAAACATATAGCTATCATAGCCAATTCATCTTCAGAAAAATCCATGACCACTGACAGCACGGTCATGTCACTGTTGTGTGTAAATACTTGTCACCGTGCCATGCTGGACATCACTGTCACCAAACGGTCACTGTGCCGGCACTTCACTGTTGTGTGTAAATGGACCCTTAAACTCCTCAATCTTTTACTATTTGCTCAAAACGTCTACTGGAGATTTTATATTTAATAATATTCTTTATTAATTGCTGTAAAAATTTTCATTTAGGTAGTACCTTATTAGTAATACAGTAATCACCACTGAACTTAGACCAGTCCACAGAATCACCACTGAACTTAGACCAGTCCACAGTTAACATGCCATCCAATAGATAGGTTTAAAAAAAAGTAGCTTTGATTCATTGCATGAATGTTTTACATAATTTAAAACAAATATAAAGTAATTAATCTTTATTTTTGCTACATATCAAATTGATATCTTGCAAGTTTAACAAAATTGAGCCAGTCAAACTTGAGTCATAGACCACTGTGTCACCTCTGTCAATGAACATAGACCAGCTGAAAATTTGCATTTAAATAATGTTACAATTGCAGTATTTCTGAAACAACTAATTATTTTAGCCTCACTATAGATTCTTTTGGCCTCATTTTAGCCTGCAGTGATCCTGTGAATGATATAAGGTGCATTTTTAAAACTTTTGCATTTTGTCTACAATGCCCAATAGAAAAGCTGTTTCAGAAGATTTTAAAAATGCTATCATCGCTAAACAGTCATGTCATGTCTGAGAGAGCTATTAGTACAGAATTAATGCTAAGCAAGACAACAGTGCACCAGATTATTGTTCCTTACACTAACCACAGCCATGTTATACCTAACAAAGTGCTGGATATCAGCAAAAAACTTCAAAAGTTGATGATACGAGTTTGAAAAGAAACATAAAAAACAACCACTATGCCACAGCATTGAGTGTAACTACAATATGGAATGATATAACTGGAAAGAATGTATCTGTTTTCGACAACACACAGGACACAGGAGACTTCAAAAAATGCATTTCTGGTTTTATGCAGCACATAAAAAACCTTTGCTAACAGCACATCAAAAGAAAAAAACAGGTACAGTTGACCAAAGAACATCTTTCCTGATCTCAATAAAAGTGGCATAAAATTCTGTGATCTGATGAATCAAAATTTGAATTATCAGCAACAGACAAAAGCAAAAGTGTCATTTGATCTGCCAATGAAGCTAATGATCCATCATTGTTAAACTGCTCAGTGAAGTTTCCTGCCAGTGTCATGGTTTGGGATGTATGAGTGCCAGTGGTATGGGTCAGTTGACATTTCTTGGTGGAACACTTGCTTTAGAGCAATACATTATCATTATACAACAGTGTTTACTTCTGTCCATAGCAAAATATATCCAAATAGAACTTGCATTTTCCAGCAAGATGTCATACAAGCAGAAAAACAAAGCAGTGGCTTGCAGAAAACATGGAAATTCTTCCTTGGCTATCCAACAGCCCAGATCTTTCACCAAGAATGTATGGAACATTATGAAGAGACGTATGCAAAAAACATGTCCTCAGACAGTTGAAGAACTAAAAGCTTCCATCCTAACTGTCTGGAATTCCATAATGGAAGATGAATGTGGACATGCAGTCAACAACATGCTGAAATGTATGGAAGGTGTTTTGGCCGCAAAAGATGATGCAACAAAGTATTAAACATGCAGTGGTCTATGTTCATTGATGGGGATGATGCAGCAGTCTATGTTTTTTTATGCTTGTGACTCAAGTTTGACTTGCTCAATTTTGTTAAACTTGCAAGATATTCAAGTTGATATTTAGCAAAAATAAAGATTAATTACTGTATTTTTGTTTTAACTTATGTAAAACATTCATGCAAGAATCAAAGCTACTTTTTTTAAACCTATCTATTGGATGGCATGTTAACTGCAGCCTGGTCTAAGTTCAGTGGTGACTACTGTATATTTAATCACCAACTAATATTTGATAACGATAAATATTTATTCTTAATTATTGATAAGTTAAATTAATGATTTTAAAATGTAAGCATTGTAAGAACAGCTAAAAAAATACCACATTCATTTGAATAATTTTGTTATTTTAAATACACAATTTTTTTTCTATTTACCATCTCATTGATATAAATCATAACTTAGACAAATTACTAAATTCTCTTGGTACTGATGAGCATTCAAAAGCAGAGAAAAAAAGAATTAACCAGATTGAAATGCTAACAATAATAAAATAAATATATTAAATTTTACTCACTTTCCATTCAACTTATTATAATTAAAACTGTTGAGTTATAGATATGCATAAAAATACAAACCTGTTGTTATTTTTTCAATTAATAAAATAATGAAAGAAGTATGTGACATTACAAAAACAGTCACGATTACAGAGTGGTCCATTTTAATCAATCCAGTGGATTAACTTGAAAAATATGTATCCTACAAAAAGAAAATCATTGAACCAAAAATGTTAAAACTCAAGAGGGCCACAAGATGGGGCTATCAGTTTCATCATAGATGATCTAGTCAATGAAAAGGGATCAACTTTATTTTCTTAAATGGGAACCCTCTTATTACATATCCTGTTTCTACATCAAAAATAAACTTTTATTCAAAAAATTTTTTCAAAAAATGCATTTATCAGAAGTTATATGCAACTACCACATGGTATACATGTAAATCTGTGGATATTTGTGAAGTTTAAGAATTTAAGAAAATGAAGTTTACCCCTTTTCACTAATTGTAGCACCATCTATGATGAAACTGATAGCACTACCTTGTGACCCTCTCGATGTCTTAACATTTTTGGTTCAATGATTTTCTTTCTGTAGAATGCATATTTAAGTTATTCCACTGGATTGATTAAAACAGACCACTTTGTATGTTTTATTTGTGCACAATTATTTGATTGCAATGATGACATTAATGAATAAAATTATTTTCAACTGCTTCTACATTAAATATTTAAAAATTTTGCAAGTTTATATATGCTTAGACAAAGTAAATTGATATGCATTCAAGATTTCCAGAAACAAAAATCACATAAATGAAATATAAACAAACATTAGAAATTAACTTTTTAGCTTTCCTTCTGCATTTGTGGATTAAAAACAAGCTGATAAAGATAAATTCTATTTGGTTATATAAAATTAATCAGTATAAATATTAATTAAAATTACTTACACACATTACTCTTCCAAAGAACTGGTAACTTTCCACAGATAATTTCATTACATGTTACACACTGAATAAGATCTTTTCCAATACATTTCCATCCATACTGAGCACAAGCAGGAGGAGAGAGACTAAAAGGTTTCAATCTCCACTTAAAACAGTTAAGGTAATTTATTAAAATTAATAAATATAATTAATAAATTTTATATAATGATGATATTTTCTAAATGTGTCTTAAAAATGTTATAGCTTTTACAAATTAAGACATTTATAAATTTATAAATTTGGAGTTTGTGATTATTTTTAATGCAACACGTTCAAAACATGGATAAATAAAATAATTTTTATTTTTTTATATAACTGAATAATTTATTATTATAAAAAAATATTTAGGATTATGACAAATTTAAAGAATCTGATCTATGAGCTAATAAAACACTGGAATGATACAAAGACAAGAAGAATATCAGTAATCTTACAACATTCAGAAAAACAAAGCAACTATGCAAGATCAAAATCTTGACTATCTTTCTGAACTTTACTTTTGGCAATGGTTGAATGTACTCTCTGTTCAGATCCATGCAATGTGATACCTTTTACCAAGGCACATCAGAACTTAACACAAGGTATGAGGATTGGCCACAGATCTGATGCCTTCTCATCATAATGCATTGGAAACTGAATAAAACACTAATCACACCAGAAAAGGTTTTTTCTAGAACTCCATCTAAAGAAGGTCCTAGGGTGGACCAAAAACATTTGTGGTATGTTACAAAATAACTGCAAAGCAATATTAAGGTTACTGAGGGGTATTTATAATCAACGCTTTGTTTATTGGATGAATTTTACCGGCTATCCAAGCCAAAAGTCAAATTTTAAAATAGAACATAGTATTTTAAATTTCAATTCAGATGAAGTTAAAAAAATAAAAATTTTGTCTCAAACATTTTTTCTGAAATGCCTTGAAGCCAAACATTTATTTGTATACCCTTTCATGTATGTTTATATTTTTATATATTAAAAACAAAGTGTGAGATCAAGGACCTGTTTTAAGGAAATTTTTAACATATTTCTATACAGATTGAGTATGGTTCAATATCTCCCATATTATGACAAACTGAAATTGATGAATTTAATATTAAAAATGTTTCTTCAGAATCTGAAATAGATAGAATAGACTGTTTCGCTTCACCATCGACATAACAATTTTCCCCTTGCATTAATCATTAAAAAATAGAATATGAAGATTTATCTGAATATCAGAAATCACTTTTATCTTCTTTAAATCTAAATTTTAATAATATTAAAAAATTAGTTCCAACTTTAAAAGATAAATTATGTTATATTATACACTATAGAAACTTAAAATATTATCTAAAGGAAGGTATAATTTAAAAAAAAAAATCTATAGAATAATTTCTTTTAAACAAGCACCTTACTTAAAACCATATATATTTTTAATAATGAAAAATAAAAACATAGCAAAAGTCAATTCAGCAAAAAGTTTTTTAAATTACTGAACAATAGATTTTATGGAAAATGTATGCAAAATGTGCATAAAAAAATTAATTTAAAAGTGGAATTGAATAAAGATCAATGTAAAAAATATCTAAACGATCCTGCACTAGAAGGTTTCCAAATAATCAACAAAGAGTGTAGTGTTTTTAGATTAAAGAGAACAAATTTATTATTCAATAAACCATTATACATAGGTTTTTGAGAGTTGAATAAGTTACATATGTATCAAATATATTATGGAATATTTAAAAATTATTATAAAGATAACATTAAACTTTTGTATACAGATACTGATTCTTTAATTGTAGAAATTTACACAGACGATATTTTCAATGATTTTAAAAACAATCGCTTGTGACTCAAGTTTGACTTGCTCAATTTTGTTAAACTTGCAAGATATTCAAGTTGATATTTAGCAAAAATAAAGATTAATTACTGTATTTTTGTTTTAACTTATGTAAAACATTCATGCAAGAATCAAAGCTACTTTTTTTAAACCTATCTATTGGATGGCATGTTAACTGCAGCCTGGTCTAAGTTCAGTGGTGACTACTGTATATTTAATCACCAACTAATATTTGATAACGATAAATATTTATTCTTAATTATTGATAAGTTAAATTAATGATTTTAAAATGTAAGCATTGTAAGAACAGCTAAAAAAATACCACATTCATTTGAATAATTTTGTTATTTTAAATACACAATTTTTTTTCTATTTACCATCTCATTGATATAAATCATAACTTACAAGGAGAGCCTACGGCTTTGGGGTAACGGATTTTGATGATCTATGGTGTAGAGGTAGTACACGATGTTAGTGTACTATCTGTAAAATACTAAAGTGCAATACTCAAATATAATCAAGAAAATCGAACTTAAAGTTTTGTTAGCACTTTATATATAAATTATACGTACTTCTATTTGAGCGTCCTGTGGCAGAGTGGTAACGAGTCTGATTTATAAGCTTGAGTTCTCGGGTTCGATTCTCGCGTATAATTTTTTTTTAAATTCATAAATACTTATAATGTATTTATTTATTTACTCATTCATTTATTTCTTATTATTTATTTATTTTAATTTAATTTCTATTATTCCAAGTCTAATATTTTTATACTTTTGTTGACAATAACGGC